TTGTCCGGCGCATATTCTCCAACAACAACCCCCGCCCAACCCTGTCTCTCACAACCGGTGGTCTCGGGATATATATATATATATATATATATCAGTGCTCGAAATAAGCGTTGTCCGGTTGTTCAAGGGTATATATTAAGAGATTATATCTTTATTATGGACTCTCGATGTTTGTTTCAATCTCAATTTCAAATCTCTGATTTGTTTCAAGAGCGTCTTAATAAAGCCTTTCAGAATTTCTCAATCGAGCATATTCTTCTTAATGCGAATAATCCAGAAGTTAATTTAGGAGGGGCGCGTGGGGGCATGAAACGCCCGAGGGGCGTTATAACTAAGCGAAAATAGGCCCTACCCTTGCCGTGAAAATTCTAGGTGGGCGACTCCCCCTGTGCCACCCCAGGATGATTTAGCAATTTGACTAGGTTCAGTAATAGTAGGTTAATTTGTATTATTCGTAAATCAAAAATACCTGCTTGTCCCAAAACTAGAAGGTTATGTCCTCCGGTTACTAATCCAATACCTATTTCTTGGTCATGCGTCAAAGTGAACATTTTCTAAGTAGGAGTCAAAATTTTAAAAGTAAAAGCAAAACTACAATAAACACTGCATGCAGAATAGGTTATGCGTACCCAACAGCTGCTCCAACTATCAGACTGTACACTAGCTCCGATGTAACTGTCTTGAAAATGTGCAGAGGTAACGAAAGTTGGTCCCGTCTATGGTATCTATAGCAACGCCCCACTGGCGGCTTTGACGGGGCACACATGGGAGGCGGAAAGCAACGGTGTTGTTACCCAAAATGCAGTGCGCCGCCTTCCGCCATGTACTTAAGTTTGTTACAATCACGCGCGCAGTCGCTAGCGATCGCGAGAATTTCATGATTTAATTCGTGATTTTGCGTGACACAGCTCTGTTTCGAAGTGAGACATAATATTTCTACAACAAGTGAACACTGTACTTCAATTAGCAGCAAAGATGGAGTCGTAAGGTCGAGTATTTCTGGTGAGTGTTGTAATCGTGTGTAATCAAGCGAGCGTCGAGCGAATTCCTGGCGCACGCTTTCTTACCTGCTATATATTTATGTGTCAGTGTACGTACGCGCAATGGCGGCGGCGTGTGTTTACAGTTGAAATGCTTCAAGTGCCTGTGACCGACCGTAACGAAATAGTTTAACCAGAACTCACCACACTCCACAGTGCCAGTGCCAGTGGCACACATGTCACATGAGCAAACGGCAAAAAACTCCTGCTGCTGCTTTTAAATAAATTGCTGGGTGACCATAAACATCAGTAGTGAATAAAACCCAATTCACTTCTAATAGTACAAATATCCTAATACAAATATCCTAATACGAATATATAAATTTAATTAATTTATACACGCCTCGCTTTCGCTTTCAGGTAAGTCAAAGCAGGTGAGCCAGCATGCATAAAACCGGCCGCCAGCTCAAAATAATCCATCGCTATGATTACAGTGCCATCTTTTGGGTATTTTAGTTTATAAATTATAATGCAGTATGCGTATATTTTTCTTCCCGTGCTTCTATGTTTCACATGCTTCTATTCACATCACTTTCTTATTTGAATGGCTGCTACATTTGGGTGATTAGGAGGGTTTAAATGTGAATTATGTGGGGCGGACTGGCCCCTCGGGCAATCGGGCAATGCCCGAGGGCCCAGAGGGCCAAGGTGCCCATGGGCCTCGAAAAAAAAAAAACATTTATATTTAAATTTTTTGTTTCTTCAGTTTTTCTTCTTCATCGGTCGGTCTGAAAAATATTGTGCCCTAAATCCGAGGACTTTTTCCAATCCATAGGGGGTGAGGGTTCCACCACTTTTTCAAAGTTCCAATCACCTACCTAACAAAGCAATGATTCATCGTGATTGTCGACGGCTCATAGCGGCCCTGACACTACTGGTTCCTCATATTACACGCTTGGCTGTAGCCTGAGATTACGTGCATCGATTCACGCTGCGCTGTAGGTCACACTAGAAGCACACTGTGCGATTTCTACGGGGCTGGGCCGCTTGCGATCGATAAATACGTGTGCCGGACTGCGGTGAGATTTTTAGATTTTTTGAAAGGCGGTTGGTACGGGCGCGTCCATTAGATTACGTGAACACTAAATCAAAAAGTCAAAGTTTGCTGTCGGGAGCGAGAGAGCAAAGTATCAGGGCTTGCCAACCTCCACGCATTGACACCGTGGAGACTCACGCATTTTTGTACCAAAATCTCACGCCTCACGCTGACAAATATCTGATACAAATTATCTACACAGCACGAAAAAATGTGCTCACACAATATCTCACGCAGCAGGCATAAAAAAAATCTAGCAATATCTTGAAAACCATGTCACTTTAGATGTACCAAATTGCAGCAAATGGACAGTTATAAATGCAAATAGCTTCTACGCGTGGGAGTGTGGGAACAGGGGAAACACCAATCCACCCCTCGGTCGCTTCACTCCTCCCGCCTCTCACCTAATTACTGCAGCCCTGAAGTACTCGAGTGTACTCTGTTAATAAGTTGCAGCTTTATTTGCAGGGCATTATAAGGCTGTATTATCAATTATAAGAAATCTGCTTAAAATCAAATTAATATATTCAAGAGTGAGATCTTGCTAATATACTAGTGCAGCGCTGACACAGCCGTCGCGCACTCAGCGGCGCAGCGAGTAAGCCATTCTCCTGGGCGACTGAAATCTCCATCAGGCTGCTGGCCAGTGCTCTGCAGCTGCCAACCTATATTCTTTGGGCGACATTGATATTTGCGGTTCATTTACTTCATTAGCACCATAGAATTTTTATACACGGCATATACGAAAGATACGGAAGCTGATACTACTAGATATCTATCAAAAGACGAAAGACAGTGTTTGCAAGAATGTTTTCTGTGTCCTCAGATTACTGCAGGGCAAACTATCCGATTCTGCAATTCTGCAGTATGAGAACCATGTATATCTGTGTAACAAAATTCCTTGTAACGCTTACAGCGTGTCTCATGCCCTACGTGTGAGCGCGCTTCTCTAAGCTGAAACTATAAAGACGCGGTCTGCGTGCATCACTCTATCAAATCTGTTAGAAATGTCTTATGATGATGAGCTATTGAGCGTGAGATGGCTAGGCAGAAATTTGTAGAGGCAAGAAGGACGAGAATTGTTGACAGATTTCGCAAGTACGCCGTCAGCACACTAATGCTCTAACTGATTCAGTAAACGATATAGATAGATCATATAAATGATATAATATGATATGATCGGGGCGTGTATTTGATGAGTGATGAAAATAATGCACTAAATGTTCATCGTAGTACATTTATTTTCCTGTTACTATTTTGAAATGGGTGATTTGGTGTAAAATTCAACACGGTATTCCGTATCGAGAATTCCTGATATTGCAGGCCTTTTGAGTTTCACAAAGTCCGGACCCCCGAGCTTCTCCCTTCTCCCCTTCCTCCTTCTCCACCAGCTTCTCCCCTCCTCCTTCTCCACCAGCTTCTCCCCTCCTCCTTCTCCACCAGCTTCTCCCTTCTCCCCCTCCTCCTCCACCAGCTCCCTTCTCCCCTTCCTCCTTCTCCACCAGCTTCTCC